CTTATCTTTAGATTAAGATCAAGACCTAAATATGACATGGATCGCCTAATAACTCTAATGACGTAAAATCATATTGTACACAATACTATATTATATATATTATTAAAAATAATAAGTATATATATTATATATATATATATGGACAAAAAAGAAAATGAAAATCTATTGCATCAAAGTAGAATTTTTTTCTGATGCGGTAAAATCTTAGGATACGTTTAAACAAGTACGTAAACTGAGGGGAAAAATATCTTGTTAATGTAATTGAATGAGAAAATAGCATAATAACGGTGAGCAGCTCCAAATAGACGTCCGTAATCAAAGCAAAAAAGCATACCTAAAATAAATGGAAGAAAAAACGTATTCGTATTAATACTCTACCGCTAATTTTACCTAAACTAAAAAAAAAAAAGTAATGCTATAAATAATATTCCCATACGTAATGTAATGATTAAGCTGCGCGTATGAGTTCGCACGTACGATGTACTCACGTATCTCCTCACATAGCGAAGTACCTACTTACATACCGTAATTGTAATAGTGTTTTAACGTGTAATGTGCAAAATGAAAAAGAATGAAGTAGAACATAATATATGCGTGTGTAAGATTAAACAATTTTTGCAGAAATTAGGTTTCAGTAAGGTAGCGAGAGCACTCGCAGAAATATGGTCGCATTTACGGATGTATTATAATAAGCACTGAGCGTAACTGATTAAAATATTCACGGAATATATTTTAAATTATTATATTCCAATTCTAGAAAATAATACAGCTTCTTAAAGCAAATGTAACGGTACGATTCATAATAATGGTACGATGTACGTCGGAGATAATATAGTCATTTACGATTAATATAACTATTAATGAATTTATTTAATTTAATTTACAAGTTTAGATAAAGTGATATATTAAATCGATGAAGTTCGGTCTATTTTGTATTTTTATCTACGAAGTCTTTAATTGGTCACAAAAAGTATTTGAATAATTTTGCGAAGTGTTTAATCTACAGTGACAAAAGTGAAGTTGTATTTTAATTTTTTAAATATTTTTATTCAAATAAGGACAAATGTTCTTGAGCGAACGGATTCTTGACCAAAAATACATTTTTTTTATTGTACATCAATATGATCACTACGATGTCGAGCCATATTTCGTGCTTGTGCTCGATTTACGCATATAAATATGCAAAAACATTATGGAACAAGAGAACACATATTTGTATATTGGTTTCGCTCCACGTATCTGTTATCGTGTTAAGAGTACACAACGTAATTATTATATATTTTCTGGCCGTAGCCCAAGGAAGTCTTTCGGTTGTTCTGTCGGAATGCCAAAAAACGAAGAAATACGATCGCGCCTAAACTCCGGCTCATTGTATACGGAACAAAAAAAAAAAAAGAAATAATATCGTGGAATCGAAAAATGAGAGAGTGACGCACGTGACGCGATTAGCCTCGAGAATCGGTGTATCTATTTGTAGAAAAGTTTTATAGACACATGACTCTATTTACGAACTATTATTATTATATTATTATTATTATCATTATCATCATCATCACTATTAATTATTATTTTAATTTTGTTTTAAAAATTGACCTGTCAAGTCCATCATGTAGTTTCGAATCTACATGGCGAACGTGCGGAGTATTAGTTTTATTATATTATTATTATTATTATTATTATTATTATTATTAAATATGAATTATTATTGCTTAGTTATGTTTGGATGTTATTGCTACAGACACCATTAATTATTAAGTGACATGGCAGCAGCAAGTACTGCGACGATGGCGGCGCCGATACGTCCGACAAATTAGAGATATACGTAATGCGTAATAATAATTATTATTAAACTTAGTCCGAAGAATTTGTACAGTATGGGACGATGAGATTTATGGCGGCCGTGTTAGTTTCTATTTACGATATACATTAAGTCCTTAATTCTAGCGAGGCGGTGTATGGCGAATAAAAGGGATGGCATCGAGTCGCGTCGATTTTTGCGCGCATACATCAGACATCGACCATAGTGTAGGACTTGAGAATTGGATCGACGATGAAGATTAGTGATTTTTCTTACGCCATTACGCATTTCTCTTCCAGAGAGCCTTGAATAAAAAAATCTTATCAACGTTAATGAGTGTGTGATTGCATTATTTTATTTGAGGAAAAGAGTTTCAGGAAATTTCAATAAACATTGTTGACGGGATTTTTACGAGCGTTGTAAGTGCTGACTTTATAATTTTACAATGGGTATACGAGTAACTTTCAAACAAAAACAATCCACTTGTTTGGAAATTGGCATCACAGCTATGTAAGAGATACTCTTAGAAGTGTACTGTTATCGATTTAATTCGTGATTTTTTAAATTACGCGAATTAGACTGCATCTGATGTATCCTAATCAACGAGATCCCTTCTCGAATCTTTCGCATGGATCGGAAGAATGTAGAGAGAAAGAGAGAGAGAGAGAGAGAGAGAAAGAGAGAGATAAGGCGGAAATTTTAGAGTAAAAATTGTGCGGGCGCCGTCCACATATGAAGCTTTCTCTTGGCTTATATCTAAGCTAGCTGCAGCAACTCTATATGATTATAGAATATTATTCCAAATAACTGACGCATAATCATATCATATAATGTTCATAATGCTTCCCCATCCTCTTCTCTTTTCTCCGTATTCAATCTATCCTGCTCCTTTTCCCTTTTCCCTTTTCCGCTTCTACCTCTCTGTCATTTATATACTCGCTCTAATCTTATCATTATCGTAGATGTGTACTATATCGAATCGATAGTACTGATTAGTATAGTTACTGAAACGTTAAAAAAGGAAACACATAATATGTTAGTAGTACAACATTGCCCGACTTGCCAAACTCGCATACACGTCTTTCTTGAATTCTTCGACGTTAAAGCAAAAATATTTATTGAAGCAAAACCCTCTCCAATTTCCATTTCCCAACCCCCGCGCGAGGACTTCTCTTATCCGAAT